GGGTAATTTTATTTGTGCATTTTTTGTACGCTCCTTTAACAAAAGTGTTCCGTTTCTCTCTAAAGGATGTTGTGTTACCAACTTGATTAGTGTAGATAAGTGTAGCACAATTTTTAAAAAAATCTAAAAATCTAGACTCGGGGATGTGGAGAAGTACTTTGTACTGCCGTTTTGGAAGGAGGCAGGTTCGAGTGTCATGTGCCTAACCTCTTTTTAATTTACATTCATTTAGTGTGGACCTTTTCAACTCTTTATACATGTATTCTATTGATTTTTTTCTTTCTTACTGTCTTTCGAAATTGCTCAACATTTTTTTTACTGTATTTGATTGCTTAACTTATTACATACATTTTTACAATTTTGCGGATACACAGATAGTGACGGACACCGACTAAATGTTTTCATCGAGGCAAACATGGCACATTATTTGAATCGCCTATCTGTCTAATGACTGAGGGAAAATTGTCTTCTTTTGTATCTGATACTTTAATCTTTACACGCACACTAGTTGGGGCAAAAAGAAACGTTCTGTGGTCGTGGAATATTGCTATTTACCCATCTAAAAAAAGAAAGATCGAGACAAAATAGAAACACGCAAATATTACATTTGTACGTTTAGAGCGTCCAGTAAAGACGTTTTGGTGTCGGTAACATACTATTCACGTGGTCTGTGTTCCGCTCGTCAGCTGATTTTTGTTGTCCACACAAACACTGTCCGTTGCGTGCTGATGTCAGGCGCCTGTCACCTTATTGTAAAGGTCATTGTGTCACGTAAATAGGGTCAGAGGGGTCATACTACGAGCCCCGCACGTGCAGCCCACCGTTTGAAACTGTTGGTGGGTCAAACATGGACGTAGTGAAAGTTGATACTTCTGGTGGGGTCGTGTTATTTAAGAGTCAATATTCTTTGGTTTTGTGGAATTCAAGTGAAGTAGATTTAAGTGTTTGAAATGGGATGGTTTTTTGAATGGTGTTTTCTCTGAAGAAATTTGTAATATTTATTTTATGGGAGTTTCGGTGTCCCTGTCAGAATATTTTACTGGTCTTCAGAATTAAGACAAAAATGTGGAAGAGGAGAAAGTTGGAGAGTGGGATGAGGTGTAGTGAGGTAAAGGAGAAAAAGGAGGACAGGATAAGGAGACAGCAATAGGAGAAGGAAGAAGCAAAATCAGAGAAGGAGAGGCCTGTATAGAAGGAAGAATCGATGAGGATTGTCTTAATAATAAGAAAAAAAGAACAACCCAACAACAACAACATAATAATAATACCCCCCCCCCGAAAAAAATCTAAATGCTTCCATCCAACCATCTTTTACGGCACTTGCAACACAATAAGGTCATATAAGTGCCGGAGATTAGTTGCAACATATGAGCCCCCCCCCCCCCGAAAAAAAAACGCTCAACAAAAACACCAACAAACATTTTAAAAAACAAAAAAGAAAAACGTCGTAAAGAGATGGATGGATCAGGATTATGACACTTAATGTTTCTAATGTACTTTTTGTTTTGATTTGCACAATGTTCACTCACACACGCAGTTTTAGGATTATTTTTAAAAAAAAATATTTCCGCAGAGAAACAGACGTCCAGGCCAGGAATATCATCAGCACTGGAGGCAACTGCATCAACATCACCAACGTCAAAGTAAGTGGCTCTGTCGTCTTTTTCTTCTTTATTCTTACATGTCTCGGTGGTTTAGGTATGTTGCTTTATTCTTTTTGATTACATGTATTTCTCACCCGTCTGCTGATTCTGTCGACTGCTTTGCGTTTTCCGGATTCACCTACACTCGGATAAAGCGGCTGTGTTTTGATTTTTCAACTCGAAACCCAAACTCATTCTGTTTATACCCCCTCCCTTCTCTCTCCTATCCAACCTCCGGTCTTCATTTTGTGTGTTCACTTCCCTTCCTTCCAATTGGTGGGTGGTTTGAGGGCGCCACGGGTAGATCCTACTTCTTTACTTTCCCTCTGTTATTGCTGTCTGTCTGTCTGTCTTACATTTTGCTAGCAGTAAATGACGCCAGTATTGTATCGGTGTGCCTCTCTTTACTCAAATAAGCAAACTATTTAGATGCACATTCATCAATCCAAATCGGCGCCTCTTGTCCCTTTTGTTTTTTGTTTTTGTAAAGTGTTTTACGGCGCTTGCAACTGCATAAGGTCATATGAGCACCTAATATTTTCAGTTGGTAGGATATTTTGAATTTTGCCCGGGTGGCGGCCAAAGCCTACTCTTATCGATTTTTAGACCACCAAGGGATCTTTAACGTGCGCAACTTGCACACGGGCCCTCCGAGATTTTTCGCCCTTGTCCGAGAAGGCTTGGTGTAGATCTT